AATTTTACCTGAGGAAAAAGAACTTCCAGGAAATTAATATACAGCGTCTGACAATTACTGTATTGCATATTAGACTGACATCTCAGTAGGACATTGTAAAACATCAAGAAATGGATCAGTTAAGATGCAATCAAAGCCTCTGACTTGAGACAGCAAAGGTAGTATCAGATTGTTTTATAAAACAAATACTACCCTAAAAGACATCATCTAGGCAGACAATTTCTAAGAAATTTTACAACCTGTAAAATTTCATGGAAGTCTAATAATGCAAACATGATGAAAATCCTTTGCAACAAAACCAAAATTGTGGAAAGACTGGAGAATGAGCAATTTTTTCTATACTCACTTTCAAGTATAAACTGGAAGGGCTCACCAACTGCGAGATTCTGATCTCATGTTACTCTAAGGGTAAGTATTCAAGTAGATTAATTTTCAAAAGTTACTTTTCAGCCTCCCTGTACATTTTGCGTATGTTATTCGTGGCTTAAATGCAAATATAAGAGGTAAGTCATAAATACTATTGATGGAAAAGTTAGACCATAAAAAACAATTAAAGATAAGAGATAACTATGGAGATCCAACAGCTAAATACAGGATCAGTGACATTGATTTAGTAAATGCTAACACATTCACACATAATTAGTCACTCAAAGAACATTAAGAGTTTGAATGATCACATGCAAAATCTGTAATGCAGGGTACTTTGTTTAAACATTTTTAAATGCATCTTTTTGTTATCATTATATAACAAAATAACTGATTTTATATCAAAATGACTTAGTCTTTAAACTGAGTCCCATCAGAACAACCCTGCAGTTCTTTTACGTGGCACGTCAGAAAAAGCCAGAGAAAGAAGGCAGACCAACGTAAGGGTCTGTAGTTGAGTTGGAACTGGAGGCAGCCTTTTGTCCCAGTGAACAGCCCATTGAGATCACCCACAGCAGTTGAGCTAGAGCAACTCAAGCCTTGTGCTAGTGGAGCATCTGCGGAAAGCAGAGCTAAGTCAGCAGAGATATGTGGAAACACACTAACTTGCTGAACTTTGCAACCAAACAACTGAAAAACAAAGGGTATGGATGTATGTTATGAAAAGTGCTGTATGTTTTTAAGTGAAGTAGTTTCATTAAACATGATACTTGAGAGAATGATAGTGAATTTTCACTGATATAATTTGTGAAAGTAGCAAAGGCAGCAAATGAGGCTTTATTGCACATAGATTCCGGAATAAGTCAGTTTTAAAGTGTAAAAAGTGACTGCTGTTTTCTGTGTGCAGATTATGAAACAGAGAGGTTCTTGAAGTATGAATCAGAGAGGATATTGTACATCTGAATAGTCAGACTTCTTTCAAGTTAATTTTTCCATTGGCCAGAATACTGAATCCTGACGAATCAATGTGGCACTTTATTTTGTTCTGTTGTGTGTTTTAGTTAATGTATTTTAAGTCAAAGAAAAATCAATATATCAATAGGATGATATGAAAAACATTAACAAATGCTCAATTGCGTGCAAGCACGCCACAGTCACACGGAATGATTTTTCACTGCAGGAGAATCTCTGACCAGAAATACAGCGACATGGTAAAAATTATGTAGGGAAGCTTTTCTCGAGTGTCCTGGGCTGTATGAACGCAAGAATGGCCAATTGGTCAAGGGAGGTGATAATCCCCCTCTGTTCAGCACTCACAAGACAACTTCTGCATATTTTGTCCAGTTTTGACAGGACTAATAGAGGAGACACATCAATAAAACGGAGCAAGTTCAGCTGGGGGCACGAAGGTGCCCAGGGCTGCAATGTTGTCCTGCCCTGCAGGCTGAGGTACCAGGGCTGGTTCAGCCTGGAGAAGGCACAGGTTGGAGAGGAACCAAACAACAGTCCCCCAAAACCTACAGGAAAGCCACCAAGAAGATGGACTCAAACTCTTCATAGCAATGGATTGTGGGAGGAGGAGAGACAACCGGTATGAGTTGAAACACAATAGAATAGATATAAGGGGGAAAAAAATCACACTGAGGGTAATTTAGTCATGGAACAGGTTTCCCAGGGAGGCTGTGGAGGTTTTCAAACTCTAACAGGACAGAACAATGTTGTCTTGTCTCATGGCTGACCCTGCTGTGATCAGAAGGTTGGACCAGAGACCTCCTCAGGTGCCTTGCAGCCTGAATTAGCCTGTGATAATTATCCTATATGATTCTATGGTCGTTTCTAAAGACAGTCTGCAAAATCTCACTACTGAAAAGTTTTCTTGTTGTCCAACGTGAATCTATTCTACAATGCCAGTCCATTAATTCCACTTTTTTCAACTGCGGATGCACACTCTCCCTCTTGGAAACAACTTACTATGTATTTGAAGACTATTACCATGCCATTTCAGGCTCTCTTAGAAGCTTTTCAGGTGCTTAATACTTCATGCCATTAAGTGTCACATTTCAATTTGTTCTAACAAACAACAGAATTATGGTTTTGGGCAACCATATGTGCCAGTTTTCCTGGAAATTTCTGGCTATGCTTAAAGCATGAAGTTTAACATAGCAGGAGTACAGTCAGCTGGCTTTTAAAATTTTATTTCTCTGCTCTGTATTTCACCGGTTTTCATAGTAAAAAATTTCATAGTGCATTTTTTCTCATCATTCCATAATTCCTAGGCTACGAAGTATCTGATTTTGCAACGCTTAGAATGCTTCTGAGGCAAAATAGCCTTGTTCTTTTCTTGCCCTTTTGCTCATAAAAATCATTAAGCTATAATTCTTATGGTAGGTCGTTCTCTGCAGTCCCTCATGACTCTAAGCTCTATGACTGTTCTGAATTTACATGTTTGCTCTTAGGTACAAGTTTATTTTCAGTGAAACAGAATCCTGCTACCATCCTCTGTTCTCTTTTCTTGCCAGGTACTCTGATTTGGTTGTTTTCTCAACAGCATGAGCTGCTTGCCCATTTTCCTTGTTCCTCAGAGGTTTTTCCCTCTTGTATAAACACACACACCAGTGTTTTCTGAGACTACTCTTCTTTCCATTCCTTGAATTCTGCTGTCAGAGAGAAATAATTTTGCTTCAGTGCCTCAGGATGAACACCCTTAATTAGCAATCTTTCCTATATTTAAACAGATCTCTGAGAGTGACAGTGGCTGCAGCGTAGGAGAGATAGAAGGGATGAAGCTGCTTTCTGCCTGAAGCCAGGCTGGATAGGCAGAGCTGTGACAGCTCTCCACTTTGCCTCAGGATCAGTATCCACTATTGCTCTGGTTATATTGCCTACGGTGTGGCAGATGAGGAAGTACAACTCCTTCATCCAACACATTATGTAAAGACAGATGTTTTCAGCTTACTCAGACGTTAGAATTAGGACAGAATAACATGCCCTGGACAAGAAGGATAACAAAATCAGGGTATGCTTGAACAGCAAAATGAAGACATTAGTGCAGCATGGATAGCCATAGCTTTAATCTAACTGGCACAGCAAGCAACAGCATCAAAGATGTAGAAGCAAAAAATTCCGTGTGGGCTGGAATCTGGGATAAAGTCATGGGAGCTCCTCTTACATCCATAGCTCTATAGCGTCACTGCTATTCTCCCCTTGCTAGACAGGTAAAGGGTAACTTAAAATCCTGCCCCACAGTGCAATCACTCCTTCTGCTGCAGTGAAGAAATAACTTAGGATTTCCTTATTTAGTAAGAAATTCCTTTGTGTTGTTCTGGAATAGCTGCTACCCAGGTAACATCACAACAGGCAAACTCAATAACGTGGCACGGTTAGGGCGCTTGGACAAGGTTCCCTATTGAATCAGCCTATTTTCCTAAGAACAAATGTAGGTGCAGCAAATTTTGCAGTTGGTTCCACATGCACTTTTTATATATCTAGCTTTGGTCTGAAAAGTGATAATGTCCTAGACTCTCTTCAACTCTTAGGGTTCGATTTTCTAGTGTTTATTTGCTTAAATCTCACTAAATATAAAAAGAGACTTGTACATGCTGTGTACCTAATTAGTGGCTACTGATGGGAGGACAAATTAATCCTCACATTTATTTCAATGAATTCTAAAACAACTGCAGCTTACAATGCTGTGAAAGCTTTGTCATTTCTGTTACTTAATGAAAAGGACAATATTTGTGGCCCTAATGTTTACAGACAGCTTTTGTCAAGGGGAACCGACTTCAGACATCACAGGGTTTTGTGACCTTTGACATAGACATTTGCCAGCCTTGACAATACAAGTCACTTCAAAATGTTGTGGAGATGCCTGCACAACATTTCTGTTAAGTGTTACTTGTCTCCAGTCAAATATCATCTGCTGTGAAATAAAGATTAGAATGAAAAGGCAGCTGTAACATGAACAATCTCAGTTTGCCAAAATGTGCTCTTTGACCCAAAATGCAAGTGGAAAAGCACCTCAAAGTGGGGCACATGCTCCCAGAGGATTAGAAACAGAGTATACTCAGTGTTGTTGCTGAATAAACTACAAATACGTCTTAAATGTCGCTCAGGAGTGTTGTCCAGTTTTAGTGGAGATAAATTCCCTAACTACTGAAGAGATGGCATGTTTAGAGCAATAGACTGTGATACGCATGTGTGTCAATAATGATTTGAGGAGACTTGTTTTAGAGACAGAAGAGTAATTCATTTTCTACAATATGTTTGGGCCTTGGACTGGCTGAAATATCATTTACCAAATGCCACATTTTATTTCCAGGGTTATTAGTCCAGTAGGAATAATAAGTAAACTCACAACATTAATTTAAAATAAGTCATGAATTGATGAAGATAGTCTTTTGTTAGCAGTCTAAGATGGATCGCAAATCCTAGATTTATTAATGAAATAAGTAATTCCGTAACCCACCACAAGTCTTCTGAAATTATTACAACTATTATGCCATCTATGCATACCAACTATGTGCCATTATGTCACACTGATTTATCTTATTGGGAAAGATAACACAAAGTCCACTCTCCACATGTACCTGTATTAATGTCTGTCTGGTTGTTTTTCTCATTTTCTTTCCTAGATCTTCCCCTCTAGCTGAGCAACAAATACACCGAGAAACATGCCTGAGCAAAGCAATGATTACAGGGTGGTTGTGTTCGGAGCTGGAGGAGTGGGTAAAAGTTCTTTGGTCTTGAGGTTTGTGAAGGGCACTTTCAGAGAGAGCTACATCCCTACCATTGAAGACACCTATCGGCAGGTGATCAGCTGTGATAAGAGCATATGCACTTTGCAGATAACCGACACTACAGGGAGCCATCAATTTCCAGCCATGCAACGTCTTTCTATTTCTAAAGGACATGCTTTCATTTTGGTTTACTCTATCACCAGCCGACAGTCCTTGGAGGAACTCAAACCGATCTACGAACAAATATGTCAGATTAAAGGCGACATAGAAAGCATTCCAATAATGCTGGTGGGGAACAAAAACGACGAGAATCAAAATCGAGAGGTAGACAGCAGTGAAGGAGAAGCCATGGCTAAGAAGTGGAAATGTGCCTTCATGGAGACCTCTGCCAAGCTGAACCACAACGTGAAAGAGTTATTCCAAGAATTGCTAAACCTAGAGAAACGCAGGACTGTGAGTTTACAAATCGATGGCAAAAAAAGCAAGCAGCAGAAAAGGAAAGAAAAGCTGAAAGGCAAATGCGTGGTGATGTGAAATTGTACTGTCAGGAGTCAATCACGCAGTCTCACCTGTCTGATGATACTCATGTGAAACCTGTAGACAGCAAACAACTATACAAGACCCTATCTATTAGTACCTGTTTTAAAAGAAATATGTGGAATTTGAAAAAATTAGTTCCTGTGGTTACTATGAAAAAAACCTCAACAATTAAAGAATCATGTACTCTAGCTATTAGCAAAAAAAAAAAAAAAAAAAAAAAAATCAAGAAGTAAAAGAAAAATGGACCAGAACATCTAATTTCGTAGTTTACAGAAGAAAAGAAATTTCATCCTTAGTGTAATGTGAAAATCTGGGAAGTCACCTTCATATTATTTACACTGCATATAACTGCAAGAGAAGGCAATGTATAGTGTTAGAAGAAAAACAAAGAAATGGCTGTGAAGAAACCTAGAATGTAAAAACGCATGCTGGATGGCGTTACCACACCCTTTAAGAACGCTATGGACAAACAATTCTTTGCAATTTTTGTTACTGACTGGTGGGTCAGTGTGCATACAGTAGTCTTGGATCTGACAAATAAGTGAACTATTTCACACTGAAAGGAAGTGTGGGGGTAGCACAGTTAACAGGAATGGGTATTCTTTCTACCCTCCTAGCATGAGATTTCTTTCTAGCATGATGCAGTGTTTGAACCGAAGGATGAGGAAAACCCAGACCCTGTACGAGAGATGGAGGTCCTCTCCTTTTCTGGATGCATCGCTTCAAGAATGACCTGTGTTCCTGGCCCCAGTATATTTCAGAAGAGCAGATGTTTGCCTGTGGAGAATGTCAGACTGTTTAAAAATGGTGTAAATATACAAACAGAAAGCTTCCCCAGGAGGGACTAGCTGGGGAGTCCCCTACAAAAGCCCATATGGGAAGAGCTTAGCTCAAATGCTGCTGATGGTTAAATGAACATGCAGTGTGATTAGTGAATGAACGGAAAGTCTGTTGAACTGGTGGTACCCTTGGAGAGGGGTTGCTGTAGTATTCAAAGTTTTTATTCAAATTACCAGACTAGCTGACATTCTTTACATTGCTACGTTCGAATTAGAATGGTTTTGCATTCATGCACTACTAGATCTATTGCCTTTATATCGCCTGAAGGGTTTTATATTTACCATTTAAACTCATGATTTGAACTGCTGTGACTATTTATAGAACCAAATCCTGTATCTGGCGTTAGGGCCCACACAGCCTCTAAGACAAGATTTATGGGGATAAGTACTACAGGATTTGGCATATTAAGACTTGCAATCCATACCGCGTTACAATGCAATACAAAGTTCAGAATAGAAAAAAACTGGTTCAAACCACTCTGTCAGGGGAAACTGCTCTCGCAACCTTTGGAAGGGGAAAAAGTGTACAAAACGAGAGCTTTTCTGGATCTCTCCAAAGCTTTTTTAAAAACTAACATGAATGAGTAAAGTATGTATCCTATGGTAACAAAGACCATCTAAGATAAATGAAGCACATACATTTTTTAAAGGACACTTCAAAATTGTATAAGCTACAGTTTGCACTTTAGGAACTGCTTTGAAATAACAAAAACAAACCACCATATTTTTGGTAAATGTTTATGTCAAAATCATACTATGGGAAAATGCAGTCAAGTACTAGTAATATTAGTATGCATGCTGTTGCGTTATAAGTATCTTCTAGAAGCTGTTCAGATGCAGTATTTACACTAAAAAATTGTTACCTTGTTAATTTCAGAGCTATCGCTTGCTTACCTTCCACCTTCCAAACAAAAGTGCAGACATTTTTCAGGTAGGGTGATAGTATACATTTCTTTGAGAAATAATTGCTATCGTCAGTGTCTAGAAAGGAGCACAACTTTTGTCATTCACTCAGAAGAAATTCTGGCACCATTAAAATCAAGTGTAAAAATCCTACTGATTTCAAAGGAGACAGGATTTTTTGAGTTTACGTTCTTGCATTAGAGGAGAAAATGGGAGAGAACATGAAAAAAAGCTGAGGCTCTTCCTTAGCAATAAATTCCTGACTTTTATATGATGTTTTTTCTCCATAAACCTCAAAGCACTTTACAAAAAGGACAGCATCATCATCTTAACTTTGCTGGTGGTCAAACGGAGACAGGAAGAGAGGAAGCACCTGCACACAAGTTACCCAGCAGGCCAGCAGCAGACCCAGAAACAAAAGAAGATCTTCTCAGTCCCAGTCCAGTGCTCGCTCTGCGTTTGGTCAGACTGCCTCGTCAAGTTCTCAAAGAGTTTCTAAAACACATAAAGTAATCTGGTATGGTTTATACAGCTAAGTGCATCTTTTTCTTGTCAGTCTGTCAATAGATCAAACAGTATTTCCAGATCAGGGATGAAAAACATCTAAAAGCACTACGTTTAGTAAGACTTTTATACATGTTTATACATCTACTCTGTTTGTAAGCAAATAGTTGAAGATACTCACCTTCACATCATTGGATTCCAGTAACAAAACTGGAAAATCAGAAGATTGATTGCACTTCACGAGTAATGGATCACGTACAGAGGTCAGCAGTACAAAGGTCTCCTGCTGATGCTGTCACGCCAGTGCCAAAGGTCATCATGCATGGCACACGGTTAAGCAGTCAGCATGGAATAATGGTAGAAACTCAAAGGAAAAAGGCCATATAAAGACAAAGATACTTTAAACATTATTACTTTAACTGGAGGAATTGTTTATGTAGTAAAGAATCTTGCAGGAGTAGAATATAGGGGATCTGACTTAGACTCAGAAGATTATGACTGCAAGGATATTACAGGCTGAAATTTGGCCCTGGACTTTTTCTGAATGTGCAATTTCTCATAGCAAGAAAAGAGTAGTTGTATGGCAAAGGTGGAAATAAAATAAGTAGCTTACAGTTGTTAGGATTGAGGATCATTTTCTTTAACTCCCAGCTGACTCCTCACCTGTCACATAATAAGCCATGAATTATTTCATGGACTTGCATGTATCAAAGCAAGGCCAGTACAGAAGCAATATTACTCATGGACCACAGACTCGAAAGAGAACGTATTTTATACCCTTGCATTGCCATCCTAGTTTATACTACTAGATTTTACATAACATACTTGTGAGCTGGTTTAAAACATTTGTTTTGCTATTACTTATACAATTTTTTTTTTGATACATGGAAAAACTCTAAGGTAAATAAAGAAAATATACAGCTTTATTACATTTTGTGTTTTCTTTGGGAATGTGATATCAGTATAATAAACTCTTTAAAATGTAGAGGAAACATATGACATATTTTAAACATGTAATATCTACATTGAATTTTAGCACCCAGAAGAAATGATCTAGATAAAATAACTCCTTACAACGCATGACTTTTATATGTATATATGAAGTATTAAGATATATAGTTATCATGAAAATGTGTTGTTGCAATTTCATTAGCAAATATTTTATTCAAAAATTCTGGTTATGAAGTCATTTGTGCCTACGAGTTTCTATGTTTCTGGTGATGTTCTGAACATACAAAATAAAGTTTTAAATGGAAACACAAGTTTGGAAGAAGCCTTGTTGGTGCCTGCATTGCGCTTGTTTCATAAATATATTAAGTACGTATTTTTTAAAAGTTGTAAAGGCAATTCATAGATTCATAGATTCATAGATTTCTAGGTTGGAAAAGACCTTAGAGATCATCGAGTCCAACCGTCCCTAATCCCCATTAAACCATATCA